CCCCAAAACCCCAAAACCCCAAAACCCCAAAACCCCTGAGGGTCTATTGGAGATTGAAAGATTAGTTTAAAGCATTTTAGCATATATTGTACTATTTAATTTCAATTTTGCACAATGGGCAAGTTGGAGCAATGTGTTGGTTACGGTGCTTCTTCCTCTAAATTAATGATTATTTGAAGAGGTTCGATTTTGAAGTAAGTCTAGAGATTTTTCTTACCGATATTGTCGCGGAAATCCAATCTTCGATACAATGCGCATGGAATAGATGACCACATTTGATGAGCTTCCTAATATCATTGCCTTGCTCATATTCATCAAAACAGATAGCTCATTCTTTCTCTTCAAATTCCGCAAAATTCTTGTCATAACATCCCTTCTCCGTAAATTCTAGGACTTTATTGACCTTCTTCTCCTTCTTCAACTTCTTGCGCTCAGCTCTGGCTTGGTCTGCCATCTCCAAGGCTGGGTTGTTCCTGTTCAGAGAGTTTTCTAGGCGGAAAGTTAGTACCAAGGATTGGAGAGATGAGCTCTAGTAATGGGTTTTGGAGCAGATGGGGAAGGAATAGGGATTTTGGGGGTGAATTTGGGTTTTGGGGATTTTGTAACTGAAATTTAAGGGATTTTTGGGTAAGGGATAAGGGAAGTTTGGGTTAAGGACGGGGTTTTGAGGAACTTACGGTTAGATTGAGGTTGGGGAAGAGGGGCTGGAGGTTCAGAGAAGAAGTTGTTGACGTTTTGTTGGGAGGATGGGCTTCTTGGAGGTGGGTTGTTTGGCATTAATATCTCACTAAACCTAACTCTCCTATCTTACTTATAAAGTCTCTCATTAGTCAAGATCTGTTCCATCTCATCCACCTCAAAATCTACAAAAAAGTCATCACAACTAAATCCCTAAGTATGAACAAAAACTTCTATTTGAAGCCAAAATTTGTACAACTCAAGAAGCCACAGTGCCTGGTGAGGGATTTGTAGCTGAGCGAAGAAGAAAAGTGGGTTTTAATGGGAAGGTTAGGAAGAGAGCAGAGAGTGGGGATTATTGGTGGTGTGAAAATGGATGGAGAGGAGTGAGGTTAAGAGGGGGTTGGAGGTTGGGGTTGGAGGTTGGGATTTGAGCGGAAAATGTAGCTTACTTAGGTCATTGTTGTGGAGTAAATGTGGACCTATAAAATGAAGTGTTATTTTTAGACTATTTTTAGCATATTATAGCTTAAATAAGTGTTTCTATAATCTTTGAAAGCGACAGTCGGGCTATGTTTGGGGATAAATTAGTCCATAAATAAAATCCTTAAATTTTTACCAGGATTAGCTGGTTGGTGTTTTGATTCTTCTAACCTTTGATTCGAGTGATCTTGACTGAGACGTTCTGATCTCCTATAATAATTATATGAACAGTGTTTACAGAAACGAAACTGTATAGTAAGTATATAAGTGATTTACCACGGAACTGAAGAGAATAGATTAAAGAAAAGTAGTACCTTCTATTACTGATGTCATGGCTTGCTCTTCGATCCCTACTCGAATGAAAATCAAAGTCTCCATTGGCAAGATTCTCTATTCTATCAGCTGCGCTTATAGCAGATATATTATTTTTGCTATTCTCATGCCCTTTTTCATCTTCTCTTGCCATTTCTCTATGAGCTCTTTGAGGAGGTTCCATAAATCAGTTTTCAAGAGGTCCTTTTGGTCGATTAAAGGGATCAAAAGGCTTTGCTTTCTTCGTCTGGAGCTGAGCGACCGTACGTTCGCCTTCACCATTTACAGGCCTCATAACCACAAAATACTCAAAAGGTTCATTGCTCCTATTAGAAGAACCTATTCCTTGTATCCTTATTTCGCCATTATCATCCATCCTGATCCTATTACCATTTTCTTCATCTTCGTGCATGCGTGTAATAGAGTCTCTTCTTTTATGAGTATAATGCCTATGATTCACCCATCTAAAATTATCAAAATTCATTTACTTCATGAAGATATAGAAGCATGTTCAACCGAAGATGATCAGACAAAAAATGATACTGCCCACAACGATAGGTATTATTAGTGACATAGGATCACCATCAGTCAGCGTCTTTGTCTCTGTCTCACAAGACTCTGTCTCACATTCGCTCTCTAGTAATCTTAAAAGCTCTGTATCTGTCTGATCTATTTTCAGTGGAAATTAGCCATTAAAATTATCACACAGGAAAGCCTCTTTCTGAAGGATTTTGATGAAATTGAGGATTATTAATGAAATTAGAACACCTGTGCTTACAACTTGTCATGTTTGAATTATCAATTATAAAAGTTTATAAGGGGTTTTGGGGTTTTGGGGTTTTGGGGTTTTGGGG